CTAAGGCCCATGTAAAGGTGTTTTGAGAATTTATGTACCTTATTTCTTTTCGGAAATATAAAATCAAACAACAGTCGATCTGACATCAACAGCGAAGAAGAAGGAACGAAATGTACTATGTCCTGAGAACAAGTAGTTTTGCACATAGATCTTTGTTCTACGGATGAGTCGAAATACAAAGATACGATGCAAGTGCATAGAAAAATTCGTGAGGTCCGCTGGCTCATTCCGTGGCTTTGTTGGTATAGCGTCTGCCACGGTATGCTCGAAGACGTCGGTTAGAATCCGGCCGGATGGAAGGAATTTTTTCTGAATGCTTCATCTTTGTATTAATTGTAACAAACTAGTGGAGTAATTTTACAAAAAAAAACATCAATTTAATAAAAACTTAAAATGTATTCCAACAATTAGCTGCTTAAACTTATTATCATGATCAACAGTAGGCCAATGTTATAATTAAACTAAGCTATAGCTGTTTGTAATATCAAAAATTTCTCTTCATTCCAGGTGTCAGATTTCGAGGACACGAACTCAAAGTACGGCATCCAGAAGCAACCTGCTCCAATAGCTACATCAACACCGAAATCAGCCCCAAAAATCTTCCCGAAGTCCAGGAGCGCCTCGCTGCATAGCCAGATGATCCAGAAGGTTGAAGCTTCTAGAAGAAAAAGAGAAGAACCGGGAAAGAAAAAAGGCAGTAGCAGCAGTTACTCTTGTAGCAGGGATAGCTTCGTAACTTCGTCGGTTAATAGCAATTATAGGTGAGACTTAGGAGGCTACATAGAATAAGTCTAAGTGGTGCTTGTCTGTCAATGTAGTGTATGGTGTTGTATGCAGCAGACTCACTAGACTGATCTACTGTCTTGGCCACAGTGAGAGGAGTAGCGGGTAGTACTAAGTAGGAGTTTGATGAGTTAAAATAAGATGGTAGTTGTGAAAAGTATATTTACAATTCTTATTACTATTGAACAATTTTCTGGTTAAATAAAACTGCAGACACACACTAAAACAATATATTCTTCCCGAAAAACCACTACATTCCTTCATCCGCCGCCATTACGACCACACTCTTGACAGTTCTAGTGCGTTGTGGCAATTACCAACTTATTTTGTTAATAATTAGAATGAATGTTATTATAATCAAATTCCTTATATGTAAATTAATGAAACTTTAAAATAACTTAATTCCTATTGCATATATAACAAAATAAACAGTATCTCATTTATCGATTTCATTTACGAGGAACACTAAAACGTAACTATATAATTTATTTAAGAGCCTCTCTCTCTCTCGTCTGAGCGTTGTCCCGGTTGCGTCCTCAGCAGTGTTGCTGCGGAGCCCGGGGTCCGCTTTCCTACTTTTTCTCCTCCACTTTGCACGGTCTTCGGCATCCTTAGTGGTGAGACCATTGGCACGCATATCAGCCTTGGCGACGTCAAGCCAGCACTTCTTGGGTCTGCCCCTTCTACCGGGGCCCGGCGGAGGTGGCATAGCCAGACATTTGTTTCCCACGTAGCATGCCGGTTTCCGTAAGATGTGGCCGTACCAACGTAGGCGGCTTTCTTGCAGATTATCTGCAATGTCACGGACGTGAAGGCTGCCGCGGATGCGGGAGTTTCTGACACGGTCTTTCCGTGAAACTCCACATATCCAGCGCAGCACCTTCATTTCCGTGACATGCAGAGCTTATGACGCTCAAGTACGGGCCACGTTTCACTGCCATATAAAAAGACAGGCCTAATGATGGATTTATAGACCTGTCCTTTCAGCTTAACCGGCTTCTTGGGGTCACAAATGACACCAGTCAACTCACGCCACAATTTATTTAAGAGTCTTGCAACTTTAAAAAACATTCTTATGTAATCTAACACTATTTATATATTAACAACATATGTATGTATTAACAGCACTTGTTGCCTGATGATGAGGCCATTTTTTGTGACATTTTAAATGCATGTTACCATCTTGCGTTTTATTGTTAATACTGATGTTCGAAGTTGAACAAGTCTCGATAAACCAAGGTTATTTATTAGTAAAAACGGGGCACATTCATAGAAGCTAAATGATAAATGACGTCAGTAAATATTTAGACATGAACTAATACAAGACAAAAAGAAAAAGAAAAGACGGAATTCTCAAACTCAGAAGTGCGTGTCCGGATTCGAAGCCACGGCCCCTGCTTGAAAGGCGGCTGGTCAAACCATTAGAGTGCCACGACACTAATTGTCATTATAAATTATCTATGAAGTTCTTAAACATTTAAGATAGGTATTCGTTTAGAGTTTACAATTTAACTTCTTTTTTAATTAAGTTTTATTGAATGACAGGATTTCACCGCAACGATATTCAATTATTTTTTGTGAAATTACTCCAATAGTTTCATTGACTTACAAATAAATGGACGACGGGTCTAATACAAAAACCACGAAAAAAATGTCCCAAGTCAACCTATTTAAACGTATTGACATGTAAAGGAATTTGAAGAAGCTAAAACGTTGAATTTAAATTGTAATGTCATCGCAGTATCGCGCTGTCAGTCGAACAAATTAAGACTAAAGCGGAGTTTGACGCTCTGTATACGATTTTAACGCCTTACAAGTTCGGACACTTTTTAGCGCGGACCCGACGTCCATATAATTGTAAGTCAATGAATAGTTTGTTATCACTATTAATACTAAGATCGAACACTCAGAAAAAAATAATTTTTTTTTATAATTTCAAGTGTTTTTGTTGTGTTTTTTTTTTATAATAAGCTACACGCATTAATTAGCACTGTGTCAGCTATCAAACACACATTTGAAGTTGATGAATTTGTAAAAAAAAATCAGTATTAGAAAGGGGCATTGCTCAAAACAGAAAAAATTGGCACGTGATCCACTGGACTAAACAGTTTGAAACCCTCCGACTTAGTCCATGCAACCTTCTTTTACGTGCAGGTTTTATCATGTTTTACTTTGCCGTTAACGAGGTATTGCCATTAAAATTTACAAATGTTTGTAAATTAAATAGTACCGGTAAACGAGAAATTACTAACGAGGGTCTGCCGAGCTATTGAAAACATTCCTAGATATCGTTATCCAACTGCGTTTAGTTTAGTTGGTGAAATAGATTATAAGAATAATAATCTCAGTACAGAGTACTAAAAAAACCGACCTCAAAAGTACGTGGAATTACGTCTATTTGCTAAGTTTTATAGAAATATCCCCTAGTTCGCCACTATACAGGACTTGACACTGGAGATAATAAAAATTGGTTCTCATTACTCAAAGTATATTGAGAGAAAAACGCCTTGAAGTGGAGAAATAGCAAAATCAACCATTAAAGTAATTGCTCCTAAATTATAGTTAGGCGCTATTTATAAAAATGAATCTTCATACGTGAACAGCCACCCTTCGGTGAATGATTTTCTTCAAAATGAAATGGGACCACTATGGAAGTACCCCCTTTCCAACAAAAAAGAATCATGAAAATCGGTTCACAAATACCGGAGTTATCGCGTAACATACATACAAAAAAAAAGAACATATAGTCGAATTGAGAACCTCCTCCTTTTTTGAAGTCGGTTAATAATGAAAACCCTTTTATATACATTTTTAAGACTCTAAAGGCCCAAAATATAGGAATGCATTTGTCTTGAATTAAAATAAATTAATAAAATTGAACAAAATCCAGACTTTATATAGAATGTTAAGAGATTTCCAAATTATATTCTTGCTTTGTAAACAATAGGACGTTCAATAACTTTCATTCGATAACTGTGTTTTGAATAACGTTAGTAGCCTTTGCCGGTCGAGAACTTCGAGTAGTCGTACGGGTGTGACGTCATTTCGGTTCGGTTTCGAATACGACAGTTTAACGGTCGATTCGGGTGTTATGAATAAAAATGAAAAGAAATCAAATATCTAATCGAATCAATCGATAACCGAGTTATCTTAAGGTTCTGAATCGACCCCCTGGTCAGATTGTCAAGCCAAATTTTGATATCGAGTTCTTAGGTTTTCGCGATTGTTACACATAGGAAATGAAACTATTTTTCCGGATTTAAATCGCGTATATTTGTTTTTTCAAACAAACCGACGTTTCGGGCCCTTTACAGGTCCCATGGTCACGGTTGACTGAGGTGGTACAGTCTTCGACCAGTTATGTCTAATATTAATGCTAACCACCCTATTTTTTCACTATAGTTACAATAGTTATTAATTAAATACCTTCTTTTTAATTTTACAAAGAAAACATTCCAATTTACGCTACATTAAGTTTTACACATTATTTTATTGAATGAATTTTTATAAAGTTTAATTTATTATTAATTATTAATATAAATTAGAATAAACTAAAACAAATTTTTATATCTCTCAGATACGCACCGAGCACAGAACTGGACTACTCGTCAGTCTCTCCAGAATATTCTGGCCAGTCGTCAGCAGATATGTCTCCCAAGAGATCCATGATGACCAGAGACGAAATATCGTCTAGAAGCCAGGAGTTGCAATTCTCCAGGTGACTATAAATACTACGCTAGACTTTTTTTTAGAAGAACAAGACAGTTGCAGCAATATCAGAACCGCTGTTGACGCTGTCTCGCCAAAACTCAAAGCGTCGTAATAAACGATCGTCGTATCAAACGATGAAGCCGTAAATGTCTATCCGTAGCCTAATATTAACACATACTGGTATAACATTATTGTCCCGGCGGCACTTAGTTAAGAAAATAATAGGCTCCCGTAAGCACTCCCGCTTTTTTCACGCACGTTCTAGTTGACGTATACTGGACAGACTATAATTGAATAAGAGTTTTTTCAGCTGCTGTGTATCAACGTGGCAGGAGTGCAGCGAGAGCACGGCCATCGCCGACCGTACAGACGGAGAGTGGAGCACCTTCTGGGCCAATTACAACAACAGCATAGCCACAGTTCCGATGAAAAACTATTACGACCAGTGTCCGACACCTTATAGGACTGAGAACATCGATTTGGCAGACTTAGGTTAGACTTTTCTTTTTTTAGGATATCAAGTGACAGGACGAACAAGGTCCATAGTAGTTGCCGAGTATATAACCAGAAATAGAGACGAAATGTAATTTAATTTGTTTGAAAACTATTCTGCCAAATCATTACGGTGACAACTGCGCTTCGATTGGCCAGCCCGAATTCAAAACAATTGACGGGTATTGTCAATTGTTTCACTTCCAATCGACCAGTTTAACTTAACCTTTACTTTAATGGACGAAAATTGAAAAATTACATATTTAATAAAATGTGATACCGTTTGTTTTGTAATTAGATGCTTTGCTGCTTTTCCCACATCACCGAATAGCACAGCCCCCCATAGTTACAGATATTATCTTTATTACAATAAATACAGAATATTTTTGGAATATACGAAGACGCACACACAGGTCTGTTGTTGGCGCTGTACTATTTCAACTTTCTAATTTGTGATTTCAGCACAAACGCGAGTTGATATTTAAAAGTGCTAGGGATGTAGGGCCCTAACTTCTCTCTATTTCTGGCTATATACTCGATGGTTGCAGTGCCACTCAGAACTTTAAATAGCAAAGATCTGGAAGGCACCTGCCCCTGTGACAAGTTGACATATGCCTGTAATTACACCAGCATTTACCCTTCAAAACCGGAAAGCAGTAATGTTCATATTACTACTTGGCGGCAGAAATCGGTAAGGTGGCAGTACTTTCCTGGACGGACTCTTTCACAAGGAGATGTACTGATAATAGAGATAGCTAAGAAGCACAGACTACATAAACTCGCCCTAAAAACATCAAATTAACTTTAGTTACTATCAATTCTGCTTCTAAACATAAATAACACCACTCATATATCACATTTAAGTTGGTTGTTGGTACCCAAACGTAATACAAAACTTATTCACATACTTTATTCTAGTAAGATATAAAATATTACATTTTGAAATATGAAAATACCGTAAAATGAGCTTTTTTTTTTGTATAATTTAATCAGGCGTTAATTACTGTTCCAAAAAATGTCGTCAAACAAAAACTTACAATTATTGCGCCTGCACAAAAATGATTAGCAATATTTCAGGAAGCCGCGAAATAAAGTTTTGCTATAATAATTTTGTCAGGCTTTAGAGTACCTTTACATGTGTATCTTTACGTGTATGTAGCTTTACACCAACTTATGTATCTACGGTACACCGCTGGTCACAAGTTTCCTTGGACTATCCGTGTCGTAACTCACCAATCTAGCCCAATACCTGTTATGACAACAAAGGGTCGACAAAAAATGTAAGTTTCGAAATATTTAAACTGTTTTTCTATTGCAGATTTCTCGGAAACATCCAAAAAACGTTCCCCAGACGACCTCAAAAACTTAAGCTACATTATACGTAACGAGGGTTTACATTTATCACCTCGCGAAACGCAAAACATCATAAAATGTGCCCACATACTCGGCAACGTTCTATCAAAAGCAATAGAAAGACGATCTAAGGAAAAAACAGACGAAGTTGACGACAAAGTACAAGAAATTCACGACCTACACGCAGCAAAAGACTCAGAAGTGGAGAACAAAAAGAAAAACCTAACTTTAAACCTAAGAGAAACAGTAGCACCTTTAGAAGTGACCGAAGAAACAAAACAATTGACAGTTACCACACAAACAGATATATCATTGCCAAACACGAAGACAGCTCCAAAAATCTTCGAGAAAATTCTAAGGCAGCTATCCAAAACGTCTCTGGAAGAGAATCTAGAGAAAAAGAATGAAAAGGTGGAGAATGGGGCGGAGAGCAAAGACGATAAGAAAGATGAATAAAATCTTTACAATTTGTTAAGTAGGACGCCGTCAAATTAGCGATGCGCGAGTTTAAATGTTACCTAATCGTTTGACTTTTCGAGGCGAATCATTCGACTCGAGTCAGATTATTATATCGGAACTACTCGAAACCTTTCACCATGTCCATGTCGAAATATCCCTGTACCTATCCGTCTACCCGTCACGTTTACGCTATTTACCAAGTGCTTTAGTAAATAGGCAGGAGGAAGGCAGTTTAACGTCGTCTTCAATGCGATGTCACACGAGAGTACAATTGGTTTGGTTTATAATATCAAGTGACGGAACAAACGAGTTGTGCGCCTGATGGTAAGCTATACATCGAGTTCTTAGGTTTTCGCGATTGTTACACATAGGAAATGAAACTATTTTTCCGGATTTAAATCGCGTATATTTGTTTTTTCAAACAAACCGACGTTTCGGGTCCCATGGTCACGGTTGACTGAGGTGGTACAGTCTTCAACCAGTTATGTATAATATTGATGCAAATCACCCTATTTTTTCACTATAGTTACAATAGTTATTAATTAAATACGTTATTTTTAATTTTACAAAGAAAACATTCCAATTTACGCTACATTAAGTTTTACAAATTATTTTATTGAATGAATTTTTATTAAGTTCAATTTATTATTAATTATTAAAAGAAATTAGAATAAACTAAAACATATTAATTAGTACTGCAGTCTTGTCTGTTTGGGATTTTTCATTAGAGGAAATACTGGATCCCAAACTGGTGGTACGGAGAAACCATCTTCCCTGTTGAAATTAGGATGTTTTTTAATTTCAATGGCCTCTCGCAGCATCCTGGGTAGATAACGGACTTCTTTTGCAAGGACCTGGGGTTTGGTCAAACTTCATTGAATGTGTAGGTTTATCCATGACATGCTCGCAGACTGCAGACTTGTTTACGCGACGGTGTTTGACATTAGCTATATGTTCTTTGACGCGGGTACAAATACTTCGCTTTGTTTGTCCAATATAAGAGAGACCTAAGAGAGAGGTAAGCTACACGCCTGTCCATAACAGTTGCAGTGCCACTCAGAGCTTTAAATCGCAAAGATCTGAGGGGCCACTGCGTCCGTCATCCTGAGAGATAAGTTGACAAGTCCCATGTGCCTGTAATTTCATAATTTCACGACGATGCACGTTTTGTAGAAGACTTTAACAAAACTTTTCGACTTTTGATCGATTTTTGCGTAGAAATACACCTCTGTGCGACGACTGATTACCACTAGCTTAGAGACGTCTTCTCACCAATTATAACTGCAATATCTATACGAGTTATTACAGTTTTATTACAATTGCAACAACAAAATGTTATTCATTTCCTTATAATAACTACAGTATCTAATAGATACTGCACTTATAAGATGGTAGATTTTGTAAAAAATAATAAAATTAGTAACTTTTAGATACTGCGATTATTGCTAGAATTTCATCGCCTTTGACTCAAAAATTATATACAATCTAATCTTACTGCACTTTAAATTAGCAAATGTATGTAAGTATATATGTAATACACATCGTTCTAAATTACTGCAGTTTCACTTCCTGTATTACAGGGTTACCATGGGAATTTTGATACGTGAGTTAGAGCCAAATATAGATCTTGTTTTGGTGTTAACGATTATGTATTTAACTCAATTTCGTCAAAAATGCTAGTTACTGCACTTTCCATTAGGACGGCAGATTTCTGGTTATGTACTCGATGGTTGAAGTGCCACTCTGAGCTTTAAATCGCAAAGATCTGAAAGGTATGACAAGTTGACATATGCCTGTAATTTCACCACCACCCAGTAATGCTGACATTACTGCTTGGCGGCAGCAATAGGCAAGGTGGCAGTGGTTTCCTGGCAGTGGTTAAATGGCGGGGCAGCATTTCACGGGTAGCTTTCCCACTACTTGGGCCCACACCGCCGCCCGAACTTGGGAAATTGGTCACCCGACCTCCTAATAGCAACTCCCAAACGAGTCGGAACACGGTAAAAACCATTTGGCGACACGACTGAGTCGGAATGGGTGGGTAGTTAATGCTCTGATGATATAATATTTAAGCCTGAAACATACTGACAGCGGGTGCATATCTGGCGCGTGTCGGGTCGGGAGCACGGCGGTTGTAATTCCGTGTATATGGACGACAAAACTCC